TCTTTTGTCAAAGTTGTTGATGACACTGTTTGTAAATTTAATTGCCATGTTCACGGGTTTTATAATTTTAAAGGATGTTTTATTAAGAACTATATTCTCTTAGGGAAGAATGTGTATGTCAGTTCATGGGCTCTAATGTAATAAACCATTCAAATATATTTAGAGGGTTATTTATGAATAAAGTTAAAAATGACAAGATGAATGCTCATTTAAGTCTCTCTAACATGAAGTGCCTTGAAAAACATCATAGGTTTAGAAGTATAATTTAAAGTGCGAATGCATAAACAGCGCTAATTACATGCTACTTACATTGTTTCAATATGTAATGCATATGTTTAACCTCGCAGAGGAAGGATTGGTCTTGGCACAGCAATCGTGGGGATTTAAGGGTATGCTAAACTGATAACTGTAGAATGAGCTCTGACACAGGATATTGGTCTCCTACTGTTACCTAAATGCCAGGTGAAACCAAAGGATTTATAGGAGGGCGGGTGAAAAGGGGGAGGGGGAAAGGAAAAAAAAAAGGCTACACAATGAGGTGAAACTGAGAAGTTTATTTTCAAAGGGGGAAACATTTATCCTTTGACACCATTCCATTCCGGTGACTTTATTTCTAATATACCATGAGATTAATGATGTGGCTACTGTCAGTGTGTCTGATGAACACTGGCAGAGCTGTGGAACAGTTGCTCCCCCTACTATTATTGGACATATTTGTAAATTGGCATCTATATGATGAACTCATTCCGTGTGCCAGCCAATTGGAAAAAATCTTATTCAGGAGGACAGAATTTTTGTTTTCCTATTGAATTCTATATGATAGCTACTCGGCTTAAGATTGGCTGATATAAAATTTTTTTAAGTTAACAATGTTTGATAGTTTTCATGTTATATGATAATCTCTATATGACTTAGGCAAATCAATTGTAGATAATTAAAGAAGTAAGTTATCATCAGGAAAAAGATCCCTGACATAGTAGAAGAAGTGGACCAGTATTTAAGACTTTGCTTAGGAAGGGCACAATTGCTGAACATTGCCATAATGATTCACTATCCCATCCCAAAAGCATTTATTAATTCTAAAGTAATCCCATCCTAAATGAAAATCCAGAATAGCTTGTTCCATTCATTTTCTTAGTCCCTTTCAATCTGTTTTTACAGGTCTAAAACTATTTTAATGGGTGGATGATATAACACATAAAATGCAACTGTTGAGTCACCTGAAACCTGGTTATGAGATGAGCCCCCTCTTTGGGTTTTATTTTTTATCTGTATCTTCAGAGGTGCAACTGGACACTGATAATCTCTGTTCCAGGACATTATTTGAGCTATGGCTAAGCTGATATTAACACAAATCATAAACTCATTCCAAATTTTCTGTGTATCCAGAAACATCTGCTATAGCTGCACATGTTGCCCAACTTTAGGATGCCTTGTTTTGCCATGAGTAAGATGTATTTCAGGCTGTCTGGTGCTGTGAGAAATAACCTTTCAGAATCTCTCCATGCAAGCTTGCTTCCATGTAGGTCAGGAAGAGAGGGATGCAGAAGGACCCAAAGAACTTAAGTGGGAACTGTGGGAATTGCTCCAGCCACCTTTAATATTTGAGAGCTACAGGGAATGGGAAGAGAGTGAGGCCAGCAGGTGAAAATGCAGAAACTCTGCACATTTCTGTCATGAACTTTGTCAGACACAGGATGCTGAGTGGCAGTGCTTGCTGAGCTCATGGCTATTTGTGCAGGCACAGGCAAGGGTCACTTGCCAGTTTGTAGATAATGCCACAGGACTTCTTTTGGATTCAAAGATTGAAGCCTCACATGCTCTAGGAAACTAATTTCGGAACTTTTCCTTTTGCTTTTACCTACTCTTTAGTTTTTTGATACGGTGACTCATAGTTAACCAGCAGGGACAGACAAGTCCTCAAATCTCCCTGGAAATAGCTTTCTTGGACAAGACCTACTGAGTTCAGCAGTGCTGGTGGAATTTCAGGCAGCAGTGCTAAATCAGTGCCTTTTATCATCTACAGCTACATGAAAGACTGAGACTACTCCTTCCTAATGAGAGACTTCTGTAACACTCTCTGCTTAGGGCTATTCTTAAGGAATAAGGAATCCAAGACAGATGTGGCAGTGACCATCATGTTACTCTCAAAGACCAAATCCCCCAAAGCAAAGGAAATATGAACAATTAAAACAATAAATACACTGAATCATAGGAATTTACAGTGCCCTCAGTTCTAACTCCAGTTCCACACATTAATTTGTAATTCTTGAGCCATGAATAAGTAAATCCTCTTTTGTTTAGAGAACAAGATTAAAATGCTACTAATATTAAAAACACTCCTGTTTGCTGGCTCACACATCGATTTAAATACCTGCCAATTTCTTTGCTTTACCTCTTGAGTGTCACACTTGTCCTCCTGCTAATACCAGCTGACTGGCAGCCAGCAGGCTGAGCACTGCAGGTAAATACCTAGAGAAGTGCTTTGGCAGGACTGAGCTCTGTGTAAGCAAATTTTACAAGCAAGTCAAGCATAATCTGTTGAAGTGGCTCCGGATTACTGAATATTTAACAGTAAGATAACACTTTTGTGACTGTAAAGACATATTTACACTCCTGTGTAATCTGTGGCACTGGACATCACATCTTGGAAGAGAAAACTGAATGAAGTTCATTCAAAACACATCACTCTAAATACTCTTTTGTTTATTTTCCTCCAGTAAACTGATCATAGAGACAAAGGGATTTTGGAGATGAAGTCTGACTCTAAATACCCTTTTGTTTTTTTTTCCTCCAGCAAACTGGTCATAGAGACAAAGGGAGATGAAGTCTATAGCATGTGTGTCTTCTGGTGTGGTTCCTTATATTTTCTGAAATATATTTTAAAATTCTGCAGGAATCTTAGCTGATAATAAAATCAACACACAAAGAAGAGCAAAAATTTTTCAACCAAGGTGAAAATTTGCCATGAGTTTAAAATTTATGAAACTTGATTACTTTGCATTTGAAAATCAAGTCTTATTCAGCACATGGTGCATTGCCTGCAAAGAGGATGTTATGTAGAAATTATTTTATATTTTTTCTTGCATCCACTGGAATTCCCATAAAAAGAAGACAATATAACAAATATAATTCTTTATGGCCTTAATTCTGAAGACCTGACTTTTTCCTTGTGCTAAAGGACTTTTTTTGCAAAGCTGGCTGACAGATATGAAAGAACTGGTTGACATTCTAGAAAACAGAAATAGAAGGATGCAGGAATTGCAGAGTGTCCCTTGATGAACCTCCATCTTCTCCTAATGCAGGGATCCAGCACAGAGAAGGTGACACTTCTGCCTATGAATGCTCTTTTAGAGGGGGTTCAGGGCCAGGAGCATTCCTGTGAGTGGGTAAAACGGGAGGTGGCTCTTTTCCTGCCAGCTCACCTGTCCCTTACCGGATTTCTTGCTTCTCTGTGCTGGCAGGAGCTTGCACAAACCCAGAAATGAATCTGGGGCCTGCTTTTATCTTCATAGATGTCACTTGAGGAGTAGCTGTGAAGTCGTCTCCATGCTTGGGATCAAAGATGCTCAGTGCTGAAAAGCTCAGGAATGATTTCAAAATGTACTTTGAAGCTTTCCTGGTGGGAACAGCTGGTATGTGTGTCTGTGTTACCAGCTCTAATACTACGAGCACAAACACAAGCTGAGTCACAGTGGACGACAATGCTGCTGACAAAATGTTTTAAACTGCAAACTAAAACAACAATGGGATTATTTATGGACTGCAACTCTTATTTTAATGTCAATAAATGTACTGGATAAATTCCCCTTCATTAGCTGGAAACCTCAGAAGGAAACAGAAATATTCTGGTAAACCACAAGCTTGTTCTTAGCAAATAGATGGCTGCATTTCTACTGCCGAGGCATAGCCAGACTGTTTCTGCACTGGGACAATAAATCTCTGGGAGTGAAAAACAAAGTCTATAAAAGCAAGACCTCCAAAGTAAGGGTGTGAGACACATGGCCCTCAAGCCTCCAGAGGATGGCATTAGAAAGTATTGAGAGTAGGGTTTTTTTTTTCCTTTTTATGAATGGAAAACATGTTTTCCAAGATCTACCATTCAACTCAAAACAAATGGTTGGAACGAGTCCCTGTCACTATGGGAGGTGTTTGCTCTCTTATCTACTGGGCTGCAGACAGCCCAGACAGAGGGAGTTTCTTTGCCTGCTGTGTGCAGCAAAATAGAAAAAAAAAAAAAAAAAAAAAAAAAAAAAAAAAAAAAGAAAAAAAAAAAGACGAAAAGCACAAAAACATAGAAAAAAAAAAAAGAAAAAAAAAAAAAGAGGAAAAGCACAAAAATAATGTGTTACACCTCCCTGATTCCTGAGATGTCTGAGATGCAGAAGGAGCAGTTCTTTGTTATATCTGACTCCACAGATATGCATCAGGCCATGGCATACACCAAATACAGTGTGCTGTAATGCTTCCCATCCAACCTCCTGACACTTCACTCCTGCTGGTCCTGGAGAGAAACAGAGGACCCAGAATTGTCAATGGGGCTCTCCATGATGGGAGAAATGTCATCAGATCAGCTGAGGTCAGCTTCCCATTCCTTGAGAATGCTTTTCAGAGGCAGACAGAACAAGGCACAACATCTTACCAAGTAATACTGGTGTCTCCTCATGTTTCTAGAGCGAAGAGTTTCATGTCAGGATGGAAAATCCAAATATCACAGTCACAGATTGCTTTTTTGTTCTGCTCCTCAGCACTTATCTGTCTTTACTTTTCCTTTCTGAATCTGTGGTTCTATATCTTATCCTGCACCTAATGGCTTGTAAGCTATTTCCAAGATGGAAAATGTGGTATTCTCTTATCTGCACAGCATTTTGTTTATTTATAGCATGACACTAATGACACTTTGAATTTGCTTCTGAGTTTTTTCTTATTGTAAAGACAAGGCACACAAACAATTGTGTCTGGGTCTAAGTACATTCTTAACCCCATTCAATTTATTTCAGATGCTGAGTCCTCAGGAAAAGGGACCAATGACTAATAAATCAGGTGTTTCTTCCTTCACCTACTGGAATCAATAAGAAGCAGGAGAAAGAAGTTCTTCTTTGCATGAGATAACACAGACAAACAGCACCATGTAGTGGGTAAGAGCATATTTCAGGCTCTAACCTTTGCACAGAGGCTCAGCTTATTGTGAGTAACTTGTATTTCACCAAGACTAAAAAACTGTTTGCTAAGAAAGGAATACAGGGGTACAAATATGACTTGCATATTCTTGGAAGGTACATAATCCCCTTTTTACTGGGCAGTTTATGTAAACCTCATAATGAGTTGGGCTTCCAAACCTACAGTACCTCAATATGTTCCAAATGAGACAGAAAGAGAGAGAGGCAAGAGAGCTCAGCATCTTTATGCACAACCCCAGCCCCTCCAGTCAGAAATGGACAGTAATTTGCTTAAAATGTCTCATTTTGTCTTTAAAATAAACACCAAATCAGGTTCTTCCTTGTAACTGCTTCACCTAAGAATCTAGTGATCCCCTTCCTAAAGGGAAACAACGTTCACTACAGCTTATTTGTGTTGGGAAATCAGTGCTCTGGTGCATCATCCAAACCATTATTCCACAGTGGATTAACCCAGACAATACTTATCAAAATGTCACACCACAAATATGAGCCTGGAATACTTTACTGGGAAAGCTGCCTGGACCACTGTAAAATTAGAGAAAACGGGCAAGAATTATGTATCAAACAATGCAAAACACTTGCCCAGACTATGAACATACATCACTCTAACTGCTTTTATATTATTTTAAACCAAGTAAAAAAAAAAAAATGAAAATGAAACTCTGTCCCTCTTCAGTGTGTCGTCAGATTGCATTATTCTGATAGCTCCACAGGAACCCAGTGGCTCTGCACTCACATTCTCCACTCATGCCTCTGCCAGCCTCTCCCTGACAGCAGTCACATGTTTCCATCCTCCCTGGGGATGGGACACACTGCAAGTCCCATCCTCTCACCTCTGCACATCCCCTTGTCCTACTCTTTCTGCACTTCATTATTTCTCAGACCTGCAGTCATCAGTTTCCCCAGTCTGGATCACCTTGCTCAGCAGTCTTAGCTGCACTCAGCAGCAGCACAAACTTATCCCATAGGTATTCCCATCTCTCCACATAGCCACGTTTCTGATCAGACCTCTCTTGCTCCACAACTGGCCTCTTTTCATTCTCAATGTATTTCTGGTTTCTTTTTCCTCCCCCTTCTTTCTGTAACTCCCTTGCCCTGCCCCACTAGAGTTCTCTGGTCATTCCCACACCCACCTCTGTGGCAATCTATAAGTCAGAAAATGCTTGATTCATCCTTCTTAGCTGGGAAAATATAACACAAATATGTATAGAGACAAACAGAGAAAGCCAGATGTGTTCACTAACCCCTGTGCTTTTTGCCTTCTAACGCCCCAGATTATTTGGAGCAGGGATCTTATTAACTCTATTTGTACTGCAGCTAACACATAGGGGCCACGAACGGGGATTTGATTTCTGGACAATTTCATTCCAGAAAGTAAATTTTATGCTAAATAAATCCCTAGAGAAAAGATACTGGTAAAATCTATCTTGTTCTAGGATTTAATAACAAATGTACTATTTGGTGCATAATAGCCAATTCATTTTGCTATGCATTTACTCTATTTAAAACATAAAGCACTTAAGGATATTTGGAGTATGCAAGACTATTAGAAAATCAATTTCTGTTCTGGTTTATAGCCCAACCACTTAAAGTCTTAATTTGCTACAATTCACTTTCTGATATTCTGACTCGTTAAAGTGGATCAGCTACCTCCTGAACTCCAGTCATATGCCTGCTAGAGCTAAACTATTTAATTACTGTCTACCACATCCACTCTCCCCACTTGCTTATTGCCTACATTTATGCATTTACAGCATCAGTTCAGGTTGTTTGCACTTGCTCGAGAACCTGCTGCCTCTTTTTCTGAGGTTTGGAGGAGGGAGGCTTTGGTTTCACTGAGGGCTATCCCATTCCACTTGACAAATAAACAAACAGCAGAGTAACTGGCAGGAAGTCATGTCCCTTTGGTGAGCAGGGCTCCAGCTCATCAGAGGGCAAAGCAGGCAGCATCATTTTCACTCCAGCACAAAGTGTCCATTCTTGACTCCTTGACCAAAGGAAGCAAAAGCAGAGGGACAACGAGCGCAGCACATCTGCAGGGCTGAGTTTCACAGGAAGTTATGCAGCTTCTCCACAGATAAGTTTCACTGAAGAACAAAGACTGATTCTGTTCAATGCTCCGAGAATGCTGCATTGAACCTGGACTGAGCTTTTTATTCCTTGAAAATGAGGCTCAGAGAGCAAAATCTAATTTCTCCCTCACCCTTGTTTAAATTAGCTGCAGGATTTTCATATCAGCCCTCTACTTACCATATGAAAAAAAGCTTAAAAGACACCCACTCTTCTCCAACTAAGTTTACATGTTTTATGTATTGATTTTAGCAGACTACACACAAGTTGGTGCATCCAAGATAAATGTCAGAGCAACAATGACTAAACCAGTTACATGAAACTTAGTCTCTGATATAGAGCTGCCTTAAAGCTTAAGAAACAAAATATTTATGACCAAGAGCAAGACAAATGGTGCAATAACACATTAGCAGGCAGTATTGTCACTGATTGCAAACATGTTTTGAGCTTACATATTTCATGTACACCCTGACCTCAGAGGCACTCTACCCACTAAAATTGGTTTTGCAGCAGCTCAACATTTACCAGGAGATAATGAGGTGTGTTTTTGAATGATACAAGCAGCATTAGATGTAGTGGGAGCCAAAAACATGATCATATTAAAAGCAAATAGCAGAGCAGATTACCTCTTGCCCTCTCTTTTAGCTTGAGCAGCATATTCCAATAAGTGCAGAAGAGACACTGTCAAGTACTTCTTTATAGTTTCATTTTCTTTTTTTTTAATCTCCATTGCTTGCAATGCCCTTGCCCTCTTTAAAAGCTGCAGAATAAAATTCCTTTCTCAGTCAATTTTGTACTCTCTCCCTCAGCAAAGAATGACAAGGGATAGAAAAAAAAAAGCTCAAAACTTCACTCCCTCTCCAAAAGAAGAAATAGAGATAAAGGTTAAAGATAAGTTTTCATCAAAATTTAAAGGAATCATTAAGTTCAAAAGAAGGTCATCTGCCCTGCTCCTAATTATTGCTCATTTCCACTGTGCCCAGCTCTGGGAAAATAGTGGAGCATTTTATAGTAAACCATAGCTAACAGTAAGCACAGCTTTGGAGATCCTGCTCTGCAAGGAGGGCAGTAGGATCTTTTCTCAAAATATTTCTTGGGCACTTTTGGAGTAGAAATTTTAAAATGTGAGGAGAACAAGGTAAGAGGGGTCTAGGGGAGGTCCCTGGATCTGAACAGTATCACTGTGGCAGCTCAGTGATGCATATCCCAAGAATTCCCCAGGTGGCTGCCTGATCCGGAGCTGGGCTGGGACTGGAAGCAAAGGCTGTTTGTGCTGGCTCAGGGACCGGGAGCCCCGTGGGGCAGATGGGATCACCTGGGAAGGTGGGCTGGAGGCTGCATGTTTACTCTGGCTGGGCACTCCAGAGCTGGAAGTTGTCCTCGTGAAGGAGAAAATATCCAGAGCCCCTGAATTTATAGGTTGGCAGCCTCCGATTTTTTTTTTTTTCCTAACTGGAGTTGAGAAACTGTCTCTTTGTGGTTATTGATAGAAATTTTCCTTCAGTTTCAGGACTGATAAGATTATAATTTCTTCTGTAACTTAAAAATCATATTTCTGCAGACTGTTATTTAAACACTTGACCCTTGGTGCTGTCTATGACATACAGGAGCACTCCTTAGGGTTTAGCATAGAGTTTGAACATGACATTCACAGTGGTGCATGTTTCTGTATTAAACATATAATTTACATGTGCTGTGGGTCTAAATTTGATTTAATTGCTTTTTCTCCTCATGTATTACAAGTCTGTAAAACAGCAGTACAAGGAAGAAAGGTTTCATGTCTCTACCTCCCTTCCCACCTTCCAGCCAGTACAAGTGAATCAAGTTAATTGCATGACATCACAGCAGTAATTACTCTCCAATAATAGTTTGCTCCCTTGTGTGACAGTGGGCATTTGGGTCAGCAGATGCCATAGTGGCAGTGACAAAAAAGCTTTGCCTGCATCTTATCTGTCCTTCCTGAAAACTTCACTGAGCTTCCTTCTTTCATCATTTTCTTTAGGAATCCACAGGGAATCAGCTCAGCTCCCCAGTACACCGAACAAGCTGATTTCTCCAGCCCAAACTCTGACATATTCATAATGAATCCAGAAAGAATCAGAGACTGATTCACAGCATAGCTACAACTCCATTACAACAGAAAAACCCCAGCCTGCAGCTCCAGTTATCCTTTGGCCAAAGGAACAGACAACTGCTATTCAAGCACCTCACCTTGAGAAAACTCTTAGTAAAATCACATTTTTCTACCTCTGGGGAAAAAGCAGCAATTGGCAGCTGCCTCTGGAGGGAAATCAAGCAGAGGATCTGCTCCAAGATGATACTTTCTGATCCCACCTCTGATCAGTAAGGCAGCCACAGCAAAGCCACTGCCTCCTACTTCCTCCTCTCCCCCTCCAAATTCCCCGGGCAGCCAAACTGTGGATGTGTAATGGCTCAGGAGCAGCAGCCTGGTCAGTAGGTGAGAGATATTACTCCCACTACATACAGAAAGTACAGTCACGGGAAGACACATGGTTTGGGATAAGGAGCTGCTATGAAATGCACTCTGGGCAACGGGGCATGGATCTTTTCCTCTCTCCAAGTGTCCACCAACTTTGTGTCCAAAACTTTGCTGTTTGAGAAGATATGCAATGCAGAATGCATGTCATTAATTGTGTCCAGCAATAAACAAAATATTTAGTGCATTTTTAATGCTGTAAAACCTTTTAAAATACTTTTAAACCTTCCACTGTGGGACAGAATTAAAATTGTTTTGCTATCTGCAACAGGCCTGGCCTCCAATCACATAATTAAGCAGTCACAAATTGCAAAATTGGTTTGTTTGGTTCCCACACCACACAAATACTGATAAAAGCTTTTTTTGTTTGTCAGTTAGTGCACTGTAACTTACATGTTATGGGAAAACAGTTTGGCAAATTTGGAGCTTGAAGAGCACATCACATCTCCCCATGTTTTCTCCACAATGGATACTTTACTCACTGTGTTCTGTCTGGTTTCAGTGGCTGCATGCACTCAGATAATGTAGCAGCTACAACTCGAAATAAAAGATTTAAGGCTTGTTAAGCATAAAGGATTTTTTCTTCCTGTATGAGACAGAGGGTTATACTTCCTGCAGCCAATTAAACCATCTTTAACCACTGCAAGGACTCGTAGGCAGCAGCATATGCAGAGTGACTGGCTACATTTCGTAGCTCAGTTCTTACAGACACAGACACGTGTCCGCAGACCAGAAGCACCATATGCTCCAGGAAGCAAGTGCTGGGGCTTCTGCACCATCTCATGTACTCCTCCTGTTCCTCAGACTACCCAAATGCACTGAATAGCCAAAGCTGTTCACATAAGAAGTGTGCACCTTCTACCCATGAAGATTTTTTGTTCAGCAATAAATGTACAATCTGTAACAATAACAACAACAGCAAAAACAAACAAACAACAAAAAAAGAGCAGAAGATCTTGTGTAAATCCTTTAAGCAGGTTCTCTGCAAGATTTCCAGTAGAAACTTTTGGCACGACCAATCAGCCAAGATTGCTATTGCTGAAACTTTAAATCTTTATGAAAAGAATCCCCTAGATTACAAGGGAGAAAACAGAACTACACCAGAAATACCTAAGGAAAGGAAAGCCAATATTCTCTCACGGGTTTTCCAGACTACCTAGCAGAAAGTTAATGCTTAAGGCCCCACAGGAGAGTTCAAAATGCATATAAAGATTTTTGCTTGCTGTCAAACACACCAGTCAACAATGGCTTTTAGATCCCAACTCTGAACAAGGGTCTATGTTAAACAACAAAATCCTTGGAGGATCACCAGGAAGAACATAAGGAGGATACAATACTTTGATGTGCTTTTGTGGGTGATAGGGGGAACAACAGTCTGCTCTTTGAAGAGCAGAAAGACTTCACAGCCTGTATTTGTATTTATTTTCCAGCAGGATTTCCAATGCACCCAAGACCAAATGTCCAGACTAAGTACTTTCTGGAAAGAGTAAACATCTTAGTGTTGAGTATACCATGGCAGGGTGTTTCATCAGCACCTAGCTCATGAAGTGGAAATAAAGGGAACTTGACAGCAAATGAAACTGCTTGAGGAAACAAGCTGTGGAACTGTGCTCCAGAGGCTGATTAATTCAGAAGGTTACCAAGTACAGTATTTACTAATATTTGCTAAAACTTTCTCTTCAGAATCAGGTTCCCCTAAATTTAATTCTTATTCTCTCTGCATTGCCTCTCTACATTAAGGTAGATGGGCAGCTTGCATACTTAGTCACGAATGGAAGAGCTTTGCTATTAAAAGGCCAAATTCACAATTCTGCTGCCATCTCTATGGCTACAAGGTTGCACTTTCAAAAGTGACAAAATTAGACTTTGGTTATATCTATGTAAAATTATTGCTTTATGAGAGGTGATTTGGATTTTTGCTGGTGCAGCTAAATTTAGCCCTGAAGCTGATGTTTCAGGGATTTTAATGAAGTGTTAATTTTATATGGCTTAAAATAGAACTGGAAAACACCTCCTACACAATTTTTCTAATATCTAGGTTAGCGTGTCTGTTACTTCAGTTACTTTGTGCTTTAAATTATTGGCATTTGACTTGTGGTTTTGTCAGCTATAATCTGCTTCCTCCAATTAGCAAAGAATGGGGAAGGATTTCTGTTTTTAAATGCAATTCAATATGGACAATGTTACATCAGTTTCATCCACTGAGAAATTCACAACTTGCTTGCACCCAGCCTGATTCTGCTGCAGAAGCATTGTGCTGTAATTGCAGCATATTTGCTGAAGCCCTGGTGTTAATTCACACTGGAGCCAAAACCTGATCACAACAGGCAGGTGAGATTGTCCAGGTGTTCCTGGCAGAAGCACAACTGAACCTGTGCAGCAGCAGTGCAGGTGTTGTGCAGCCACACCTCCCTCTGCACCTGCACTGCTGTGCCCGCTCTTGTTTCCAGGCCACCACATTGTCTGGGATAAAGAAATTCCATCTCCAGGGAGTGCTGGCATTTGGAGTTGTGCAGTTTGTCTGAGCACAACACAAACAGCTTCATACCTGAGCATATAACTGTACACGAGAGCACATAACTACTGCTCTACTACATGCAATCTTTAAAAGCTACACAGCACATGCCACCTGCTAATAACCAGTAAGAGGCTTTTGTAGCCTTTTCTGGACATTGTTATTTTAAAATAAATGTGTAAATCTACTAAGAATAGTTACATGTTCTGTATCCAGTCAAGGAATGAGCAGGCTATTAAGAGAAGTCCCATAAAGCTGATAATTGCTCTGCCACTGCTTAGCACAAACAATTTCTGTTGCAATCAAAAGCATATTGGCGGTCTATATGAGCATTTACTGGACCTTGAAACCAGCATGTTTCTGCCTTCAAATGTTCCTCATAGAGCAAGAGTGCTGAAATCCCATAAATACCTTCACTGTGTTCTTTCTTTTCTTCTGTTCAGTTTGACCTTTATTTCAGAGGGGGGACTTCTAGACTTTTCTATGCTCTGAGCAAAGATTTAGTGCTTCAGAAAAATACATGTGGGCTGCTCTGCCTGCCTCCTTCCTGCCACTACAGCACACAGGAACTGGATTGAGGGTACAGGAGTCCTCAGGTAACATCAATCCTGGCTCTCCCTGTCTGCCCCGGTTTATGTTTTGAATGCTCTGTGGTTGTGAGCAAGGCAGGAGGCACAGGGTGCAGAGGCACTCCCACTCTGCTGCAAAGGATAATTCCCTGCTCCCGGGCACTCTGCCCCCTTCAATCACTGCCAGCCTTGGGGGGTTGGCTATGCTTCAGCTCGCCTCCAAATGAAGCTATGGAGGAGGATCCAGGCAATTCAGATGGTGTGGGATGGATGTCAGCGAGCTGGACCCTCAGTAATTAATGGTTCATAAAGATTCTTGGTACAAAAATGAGCCTGGTTATGTGACAACATCAATCTGTTCCAGGGGGTGATCAGAGGCAGGTGAGAGGAATAGGTCTGTGCCATCACTCTCCAGGATGTGCCTGGGGAAGGGTCATGGCTGGGCTTCTTCCAGGTCTTGTTATCACCCATAACATCCCCTTTGTGCTCTGACGGTGAATGTAAATGGCCCCAAAGTCTAAGGCCTGCAAAGGACAAGAGGTGAGGTACCCTCGAGCCAAACTTCTCAGGTTTGTGTCAGCTATTCCACTCCTCTGCTAAAGGTGCAATATCAGACTAAAATAATGAAAAAATGGGGTAGAGTTTCACTGAAGTAAGGTAATTTTCATAGTAATGTGTGCCTGAAGTGAGACTGACCAAATCACCAAAAAACTCTTGGGGGTTTTGTCAGGGCACTTTACCAGCTTAACCACAGAATGAGATATAAACATGTACTTAAACTACTTGGTGCAGAAACCAAATAACAAAACACCTTTTTTTTTTTTTTTTTAATTCAACCAGTAAACGACATTCAGTGATTAACAAGCAAGAACCAGTTGTGGAAGAAATATTACTTTTGCAAGAATTACTGGATTTTGTAGAAAGAAACTGCATTCAGAATTGAATTTGATTCACTTAATTCAGAATTCTCCCCCCTCATCCTTTTTTAAACCAATATTTAAATTTATTACTTAAGAAAAAGAAATAAAATGTCTCCTCACCCCTGGAAGCTTTATTATTTTAAAAAAACTGCCTTGATTAAATGAAGAAAAAGAAAAGATGAATAGACAGCTAAATGTCCTCTAATAAGAAAAGTTAATAAGGAAAATGGTTCTAATATTTCTTTCTCTGATAATGGCTCCATTGTTTTGATTGGAGAGGCAGAAGTGAAGCACACACTCAGTGCTGCATTCCCACGACTAAATCACCTGTAAGATTGTATTTTGCATTTGAAAGCTCTCTGACAATGTCTGTCCCAGGGTAGATGCCTTCGCTTCTTTGATGCGGTTAAGCAATTTTGCACAATCATGTAATGGATTAAATTAGACTTAGTCTTCCTTGAATGTTTTATATGAGACCTGGGTTAGAGATGGAGCTCAGCAGCATCCACTCACAGTGAAGAGCATACTTGAAGACATTTTGCAGGATGGGTTCAAGTCAAAGAATCAAAATGAGAACACAAGCCTCTACTTGTACAGAAAAAATATGCCCTGTTTTCAATGGCCTTTCTTTTTTTTTTTTTTTTCCTTTCTACCTCTGAGGTGGAATATTAAATTGTGCCATTTTCTACTCTTTCATAAACACCTTTTGAAGGTGGGGAAAACAAACAAACTCCACTGCACTTAATACCTCAGTGTATTGTCCTAATAAGAAGTTTTGAGAGAAAAATGAGAAGACTGCAAGTTCTTTTGTGTCACCAACAGCAAACCACTCATTCTTCATCCCTGGAAGAGTTCAAAGCCAGGTTGGATGGAGCTCCAAGCAACCTGGTCTAGGGGAAGGTGTCCTTGTCCACAGCAGGGGATTTGGAAGTAGATGATCTTTAAGGTCCCTTCAGACCCAGACCATTGTCAGATTCTGTGATTCACATCACTGATGAAAAATGGAGCTGGTAGGAGGGGGGAAAAAAACCCCTCACTAAAAAGTTGCTTTCATCTTATATATTTAACTTATATTTAATGAAGGCATTAATGAGCAAATGAAACATTTTGTAGGTATTTGCTATGATGTAAAATAGACTTGGGGAGTCCATTTTGGGGAAAAATACCCTTGGTCAGGCAGTCTGCATTTAATAATATAGCAGAGGATATAAGCATTTAATAAAAAATAAATCTAATAATTAGGCCTCATTTTTTACTACCTGGCTTGCATTTAAAGGTCTGGTTTAAGGTGCAAATGGAAAGTTCCCCTTTGATTTCAGGAGACTTTGGCTGTGTGTCGCTTAATAACAGCTTTGCTAATGAAGTGTCTGTTGGTTACTGAACATGACACATTTCCTGGTATTTTAAAAAACTCTTCTAAATACACAGAAATTGTCTATTTTTGGAGTTTCTTAAGAATGAGGGGAAAAAAAGCAGCAGCTGACACTATGTTAGCTAACAGAATTTCAAATACTTATTTTAACATTGAAAAAGGGGATTTTGCACTTAGCCTGATAA